GTCATGTTAGCTTAGCCAGATCATTATCCAGTAGCTTGGATGTTCTGGACCTTCCCTGGAGTCATGCTGAAGACATTGCCACTGTAAAACAATTTGATGCTAGAGTACAGGTTGGAAGAGAGAAGATGTGCTTGCCTTTCCTCCTGATTTTTCATTCTAATAGTATCAAATGTTAGTCACACCATTTCTACAAGTTTTAGACAAGTATTTTTAAATTATCCAGAAGACAGTAAAACTAGAGATAAAATATCTGCAAAGAAGTTAAATTTAGAAGGATAATTGGAATACTCAAAAAACTGACTCTCTGAAGACTAAAACTGTATTTTCTATAAAGTTATACTTATTCTTCATAAACTCTGGTTTCATTCACAGTTTTCTACCCACCTGGGTCATGCAAGCACTTCTCAGACCCGGCTAGATTCTGATTCTCCAGTAATCGTCACTAGCACAGCTGCAGGATCTGGTGTGGCGTCAACTCAAAAACTGGTAACATGCTAAAATTAATTTTTTTATTTTTTTATAATTACAACAAATATTAGTTTGGGCATCATTATTTCCACATTTTTTCAGAGCAACACAAGTATGTAGTTGAGGAAACTGCCAGAGTTTACGTAGCTGCCTGAAGACACTAGCTAGCTCATTAATGTTACAGAAACCTATTTCTGTTAGGAGCAATTTTAAATAATTTTTGGAGGGAGGAGGGGGAAGTGTGACAGAATGAAGAATGGAAGAGTGCATATACACTTCATTGTAGTGCAACAGGAACAATTGGCATTTTGCATGATGCATGATTTTGTCCTGGAAAGAATATGCTTTACATTAGCATCCTGCTGTTTGAAATGTCTCTCTTATTCCTTCTTCTGTATTTATTGCTAAACTGTCCTTTTTACTTTTCTCCACTGTCTTCTGCATTGCTCTCCTTTCTTTTTCCTATCTGATACAGTTTACTACCAGCTGTCAGAGAAAGATGCAGCATTCTATTGCATGGATGCTTTTTTGTATCTGCTATGTCACTGCTAGACTACTTTCCAGGGTGGAAGTGCTTGCAGCTGTCAGTCAAGTATGCAGCCAGTAAGCAAAGCTAAACTATGCATGCTGCTTGATTTGTGTCAAATTAGCCTTACTCCCCTCAGGACAGAAGTCACTTGCTCAAAACGCTATTTCATACTTACAGTGGAAAAAGATGGAAGAAACCAGGCTGCAACTAGGTGGAGCAAATTCAGTCCTGTATAATATAAACTGACTGCAACATCCAATGTTCCTTTTATACAGAATATACTAGAGCATTGTAAATAGTATGTATAGAATTTTTTACCAACTAATACTTAATTTATTTGTAGCCCATGGCAAAAGTAATAACGTCTGCTCAACAGAAAGCAGGAAGAACAATCACTGCTCGAATCACAGGCCGAGCTGATGTGGGACAAAAAGCCAGAATTTGTGGTGGTTTAGCAGTGATGGGAGTTGTTCCACCCATGAGTTCAGTCATTGTTGAAAAACATCATCCAGTCACTCAGGTAAGTCAGAATCATGCTTGTAACAGTATTCTCATTACAACATATCTGGTAGTAATTTAAAGAAAAATGACCAGCATGAAGAGATACTAGGCAAGGCTCAGACTTGAGTATTGTTTAAAGTAACAAACAGTACTGTCTTGGGCTGGGTAGAAGGCACTGGTGAGGAGAGGAAGTAAATATTGCCACTTCAATCTACTTGTCTTGTTTCTGTAGTCATTACTTCACAGGTATAGTAGTCTTGGCTGTCTTTTCTTGGCCAGCTCTTCTGTGAGTCTTCCTCTTTGTAGAAGTGGTCAGTTGGTACGGCAATGTTTGGTGTCATCACCATGCAACCACAGTTTAAAGACAAGCTTCATGGTGTGTAGCAGGAAGAGTGACTCAGCCAGAGGTGGTAGAGATACAGATTAGGCTGACAGGCTGACTGTAGCAAATTACTGGGGAAAAAAGTCAAACCTTTGTCCGGAGGCAATCAAATTCATCAAGCCTAGCCTGCTCCTGTTGTATTTTGAGTCTTACCCCTACCATTTATCCTGAAGAAAACACTGAAATAAGTGCATTAATAGGGTATGAAACCAACATATAAGACGACTGTGAACAGTGGCCTAAATGGCCTAGGCAATTGCTACACTTTTAGACTGATCTAAGCAAAAAATCATTTTGACTGGAGGTGTATGAAACAGCTGAAAATGTTTTGTTTTGTTTTTTTTTTATATTTTAACCTGTAAAGTAGGATCTGAGTTTTCTCTGTGCTATCTGAAAGTCCATTTTCTCTTCAGTGAACAAGCAGAACTACATTGATCCCTTCATTTCAGCTGGAGACACTGGTAACTGTCTGTGTAAGGAATATTCTGCTTTCACTCATTTCCTGCAGTGAATCAGAGCCCTGTGGCAGGCTGCATGTAGCTTTTGAGAATCTGGGCTCCTAAGCAGAAATTCATATTTAAATTGAATGTCCTTAGGGGCTTAGAGGTTTGGTGTGAGACTTCTTTCATTAAGAACAATTTCTGGATTCAGATTGTGTGACTAGTGTGACAAGTAAAGTACCTGAACTACTGTACAAAAACCTGACTTCTAAAAGTAAAATAAATGTGACAGTCCCAGAGATATATTCCATATACCCTTTCTGCAAAGAAATGCCTAAGTGGAATTCAATCAGATTGAAGTATTTCTCTTGAATTAATCTGACAGAGGAGAGAGTTTGCCTTGACTAAAAGCAGAATGACTACTGTTTGTTGCAGTAAGGTGGCTAGTTTTTTGGGGAGAAAATTCATTGTTGTTAAATGCAAACATTTTCCTTTCAGAGACCAGTGACCTTTCAGAGACTTCCTCATAGCAAATACTGAACTTCAAAAGGAATATTGGCATGATTAAATTAGCACTACAGAAGGAAATTCTGAACAATTTGGTAAATGTTGAAATAAGGTTGATGTGATAAAAGCTCAGGGTAGCTAGTTAATTGGAAGTTTAGCAGTTTATGTTCTAAAAGTGTATTACAGATAAGAAGAAGAAAGCATATTACAGATAAGGAAGAAAATTACTCATTCTGTTAAAGTAAGCCTTTTTTTTTTTAAGTGTGTTTCAGTTTGCTGGATTGCAAATCTTTCTGTTTAAACTACAGCTCACTTAGAGCTATTTTAATGGGATGATTTTTTTAAGTGTTTTGATGTATCTGATTACTTTTCAGCAAACCATATCCCAAGCCACTGCTGCTAAATATCCTCGAACTGTGCTACATTCTTCTGGTTCTACCACTGTGAGACCTGCAGGACAAGTTGGGCGAATGCTTCAGGGCCAAACTCATACCAGTGTTCAGTCAATAAAAGTTGTTGACTGAGTGAATGTCTTTTTCACCGGGGGAGGGAGGCGGTTATCAAGGTACAATTTAAACCTCTTCCCCGTGTTTTCAGACTTGATATAGCAAGGCCATGTATCATGTTTTTACCCTTTTCTAAAAAAAATATTTTTGAAGTGAAAGTGCTTTTATAGTAAACATCTGGAGGGGAAAAAAAGAACTTGAAACGTTGTTCTACCTCCAAACTATTTGAGAACTTATTTTATTAAGATAAACACTTTTTATTTAAGGAATCTTTTGCACACTTTTAAATAAAGGATAGAATGTGATTTTTGTCTGAATCTCTTTGTTTAGTTCCAATGTTACTAACACCTACGTTCAAGTGAAAAGTAAATTTATTTTTGTTACATATGCTTTTAGTTGCTTATGCAACTAAGTGTAGTTGACATGCATTTTAATTATATCCTACAACAGCATACCTAAATGAAGAATAACAGGGTGGTAGCCTTCACACCCAGGGTGCAACTTGAACCAGGTGAGGTACCAAGTCCATCAAATTGTTAAACATTCTCATTTTCCAAGCTGATGTTACAGAACTTGATGCATACCTGTCAGCATCTAAGAATTTGTGATCTTAGATCACTGATTCCAAAACCTGAGGATTTACCAGTCTGTTCTGCATAGTGCTGTGATGCTCTGCAGCCGTGTCAAAACAGGTTGCACACAAGAGGGCAGTTAGGCATAAGACTTCAGACTAAGATACAGATCATCATCTTTTTAGTACAAACAATAAGATTTAGTACAAAATAATGCTAGCTATATATAGATAGATGAGGCAATTCAATTCTTCCATTACATGATAAAACTATTGCTATTTTCTTATAGAGAAGACTACGAAGATAGACATTTTACATAATTTTCCAGATGTGAAATGTATCCAGTAATGAGAAAACCTTTAAGTGCATTGAGCAAGACACTACCAAATGTTAATTCGACATGAAAAAGAAATAGGTAAATAATTGTTAAATGTGTTAAGTATTAAATATTAAATGTTCTCTTTTGAATATGTATACAAGGTTATGCCATGATAGAAAATTCTGCAGCCAGCCACACATGGTTTTAGGCGTGATGTTTTTGTGTATTTTCACTACATGAATCAAATGCTGAAGAAGACAGACTTGTCCTAATCCTAGCACTAATTAAACAAGAGAAAAGCCCTAGAAATCACTCTGCTGAGACTTTATAAAAACCTGAATCCCAAATGAAACCTATTTCTGGAAGTGTTGATTTATACACGTAATTTTTGCTGCTTAAAGTTAATTTCTTTCTGGTACAAAATATCTTATTTACATTTCATGTCAAACACAAAATAGCTCAGTTTGCAGTTCCAATACAGAGTTAGTGAATCAATGTTAAGCCAAGTGCAGAAATTGTAGGAGGGTGGTTTTTGCTTAGCAGTATAGTCATAAATTACCAGCCAGCCATTCAATTCTTTAAATCATTGTATAGCAAGCATATGAGAAAGAACTAACCAATATTTCAGGAGTGCAAGTTTTTCTAGCTTGGAAAAAGTCATACAACTTCAAAATAGGTTTTTGTTTCCAGAAAAGATATTATTTGTACTTGAAAGTCACTATTACATGCCATCTGACATGTAATTCCATCACATATGCCAGGTTTTATTGATGAACTCACGAAACTGCACATTTTCTGGAGTCCAGGTCAGTGCTACTTGCAGCTCTGATCTTCTCTGTAAAGTTAGAGGAGAAAACACTAGCTTGACATGCTCTACTTTTTACAAGGTCAGACTAATCTAACTGAAGGATGGCCAATCACATTTTAGCCTTGTTTGCAGGAGAAAGGAGGAAAGCAAAGGTTGCACATTTGTATCTTCCTTCAGAAATCTCAAGTCTCACTTAAGCTCTTTTCCTCAAGCAACCTCACCCCCCAGCAAGGGCAGATTCCTGAAAGGAAGAGAGTCCTCCAGCTCTGCCACAGTCACACCTTCCCAGCCCCAGCAGGGACCTCGGCACCGCACTGCAGTCTCGCAGGGGACAGGGTAATGTGCTCTGTACACCACAACACAACTTACCAGCTAAAGGCTGAAATCCTGCTTCCACCAGATCCTCATAGATGTGCTTGACAGGATTCTGATGAGCCAGCAATATACCATGTAACCAGATGAGCAACATTCTGTTTCCATGTTCCTTATAACTTTTTTTCCCTATGCAATACACAAAGCATTTGTCTGTTCCATATGCTGGAAACAGTGTATTTTGTGGTTTTGCACTTTTAGAGTTCCAAGAGATTTTAAAACCTACTCATTTAGTCTTATTTCCTTTCTCACCTAGAAGCAAAATGAAGACTGAGACTTACAAAGGTTTAAAAAACCCAAACAAAAATTCTAGTTTTATCCTAAGAAAACTGTAAAGGTGGGGGGAAGCTAATACATCTTAAAATTAATTTTTTCTTTCCATTTTTGCTCAACATGTGGTAATATACCCTGGAGTAGTAGTAAACAAGTACAATGCGTGCTATAGAAATACTGCTTTCCCAGCACTTGAGATGCCTGAAATCAGAAACTGCTGTTTCAGGGCGGCTCTGAAGACAGAGCATGAATAAGGTCTTCCTGTGTCACGAGGTTCCCTGGGTCCTCGCTTGCAGCATGACCTGCAAGACTCTTCCATGCTGCTCACTGCTCCTATTTTTGATTTCCAAAGATGAAGGTTTCTTCAGGCCAAAAGGGAGAACAGAAATGGCCCGTACTTCTACAGCACCACTTCCCAGGAAACAGGGACAAGGCTTGTATCCATTTACTACTCTTTTTCATAATTTAAATAAGAGCAGTATGGCCAGTGTGTGTCTGTGATACTCACATAGTTTAAAAAAACGCAACTCTGCCTTGTGCTTTTTATAGCTTATATATTATGGCTAGCCATTCAGATATTGTTACCTGTCCATTGTTCTTCAATAGCTTTAATTTGTTCATCCGTGAACTTCCAGAACAGGGCCATTTTTTTCCATTCCTGGGGTTTTAACTGATTGTATGCTAGATTCCACAGGGAAGAACGGATTTGCTTGGTCTGTGTACTATGATCTTGTTTGAAGGACAAGCTTAAGTCTGACCCATCATCATCACTATGAGCTAGATGTTCCTGGAAAAGAAAGCACATGATAAGTTTTGTAATGAAGCTGGGAACTTTTGCTTAGCAAGCAGTAAATGCTGTGTCCATCCAGCTATATGTCCATACAGCCCTATGTAGCTACTGACACATGATTTGCTCAGTGCAGGTAAAGGAACCATGTTTGGCTAGTAGAGTTCTTTGGTGGAAGATGTCTGAGCATGGATGATGTTATTACAGTCTTAATAACAGAACAGAAACAAAGCCCTCCTGTGTCTATTGCTATGTTTTAAGTTAAATGCAAAATAGACCACTTAATTCCTCTGGTACTTGATACACAATAATAACAGCAAGTACTAGGCCTGCACTGCTGTGCTCCTTGGCTCTGTCTACTTTATGTATCACATTTTGAATGTGGTTGGGGTTCACAGTTCTTACTCTTTCCTCTTGAAGTGCTAACCTCTCCCTGAGAGGAGGGTAGGTACCACCGGCATGGCGCTTGCTCAAGCTGTTCCCACCTCTGCCCCATCAGCTCTGCTTGGCTGAAGCGGGGACTACCAGGTCATCTGATGGCAGCATGCAGAGCCCTGTTCAGCAAAGTGTCTAAGCACCAATAAGCACATGCATGTTGAACCAGGATCTAGTTTTACTGCCTGCATAAGCAAAATCAGATAGATACCAAAAGTGCAAGATTAAAGTGATGTTGCTACCCTATGAATGACTCCCCTGAAACAGGAGTGATGGGATTGCTTCTTGTTTGGTCACCCCTGCAAAAGCCACATCTAGCAGTGACTTCAGCCCTAGCTGAGCAGTGCCCATGGTAAACCCTCATTCCTAGTGTAGGTAAGCTCAAACTACTTCTTTCTCTCATTTTGTTGATGTGCTAGTCCTGTTTCAAATCAGTCTCCAAAGTGAAAAATGTCTTCAGAAAGTTGATACAGGATTACAAAGCAGGTACTAAGCAAAAAAAAAGGAAATGGCAGCATGCCTCATTTTAGAAGTGCTAGGCATAGAATATTCCATTCCAGATTAAAATCAGAAAAAATACAACAGCATTGCCAGGGGAGGTTTAGGCTGGAAATTAGGAAAAATTTCTTTACAGACAGGGTGGTCAAGCATTGGAACAGGCTGCCCGGAGAGGTGGTGGAGTCCCCATCCTTGGAAGTGTTCAAAAAACAGGTAGATGTGGCACTTCGGGATATGGTTTAGTCTAGTCTACCCTTGATTGGTTTAGGTGGGCTTGGTAGTGTAGGTTAATGGTTGGACTGGATGATCTTAAAGGTCTTTTCCAACCTAGACGATTCTATGATTCTATGATTATTTCCTAACCTTATGAGAGTCTTGAAGAAAAAAAGAAATTTTAGCTCAGTAACTAAGCATTGTCATCTATGTTTGATTCCATTTCTCTGGTGCAGACTTTATTTCATGCTTCCTGATGCATGCAAGGTGAGGTTTAGGACATTCTACAGGACAGCTTCAGGCTCTTCCTGGTTCAGTGTTTCTTCTGAGGTTTAAAAAATAAAACCCACAAACCCACAAGCAAACAAACAAAAACCCCCTTTTTTCTCCTCCTTTTGCAGCAGCACAGCTTCTCTTTGCTGCTAATTGTGTGTCTAGGCAATGGCAGGGTGGAACAGGAACAGCAGCCCTCAAGAAATGGTAAATAGAAAAAAGGGCAAATGGGGAGAACAAGATAGTCTCACACACATTAGTATCACATGCACTTCTTCACAGCAACACGACATTCCCATTTGTAACTAATGCCTTGTCACAGATGATGCCAGCTCAATGTATGAAAAAGTTCTTACAATAATGGTTCAAAATGCTGGAGTTTCCTATATGGTAGTACCACCTGAACAACGTCATATTCCATAACTGTAATATCTAAGCTGCTCCCAGAGACTGTGCTCTTAACTTCAGGTAATGGGATACAGACACTTATGTTTCTATTTCACAACATCTGTGGAGCTCTTGCAGAAAACTGTCTGCTTAAACATCTTTTCTTCTCCTCAGGCAATTCAGTAAACAATGCCAAGAGGTTGGGAGCATTACAGGCTCACTGCTGTCAGACTTGTCATGTCTTCTCTGGCAACAGATGACTTCACTTGTAATTCCCCTTTAAGCCAAAAGAAACAGTAGCATACAGACAACTCGAGCTGAACTGACCCAAATCAAATATGCACAACACAGGGATTTCATGGAGGTGTTTTTCAGGATAATTAATCTAGACCTGTGATTTATCAGCACAATGCCCTGCAACATTAAGTGTCACGGATTTGGACATGCAGGGCCAGGGTGGGTTGGTAAAAGACCGGCTAATTCATGTGCCGCACTCAGGCAGGATCAGTGTGCTTATACTGCCCTGGGAGGCACTTGGCTAACCTGGTAAAACAAGCAC